TATATATATATATATATATATATATATATATATATATATATATATATATATATAACAAAAATATATGTTTATATATATGGTTGGAATTTTAAAATAATTAAATAATATACAGATTCTAGAAATTATTAAATATACATCATTACACACACACACACATACACACAAAAATTATATTTATATTAATACATAAAAGGGTTTATTTAAAATATAAATTATTTTGTGAAAAAATATAAATTTATATTGGATATATATATATATATATATATATAATATATATATATATATATATATATATATATATATATATATATATATATATGTATATATATATATATATATATATATATATATATATATATATATATATATCTAATAAAAAATGAATTTTTAAAATGGATCCTTTAAAAAAATTAAAATATTTAGACACATGTATATATACAAAACTTTTTAAAAATTAATCCATTATAATAAAAAAATTTAGAATTGAAAAATTTGAAATAACTAACATTACCAACTGATATAGAAGGATTTGATTTTTTAAACTTTCTTAAAAAATAAAACAGATTTGAAAAATTAAATGGACGAATGCCAAACTTTAGATCATTTTTTTTGTTTTTTTTTTTTTCTTTTAAATATATTTAAAATGTTTAACAAAATTTTCAAAATAAACATTTTCATTTTTTTTTTGTTAAAACCATTAAGAAGATAAGAATTTTGAAAAATAAAAACCAAAAACAAATATTCCAAAAATTAAATTTTTTTGATTTTTACTTTAAAAAAAATCTTTATGAAAGATAAATTTTTTTTTTAAATTTTAAAAAAATGGTTGTTCTTTAAAAAAAAATAAAATTAAAAATGTTTTTCAAAATGGTAAATAAATTAAAAAAAAAAGAAATGAAATATAGAAAATATTTATCGATATAATGTATATATATATATATTAAAACACAAACATTAATATATATATATATATATATATATATATATATATATATATATATATATATATATATATATATATTTATTTATTGAAATATATATATAGATTATTTATATATAAATATATTTTTTATATATATATATATATATATATATATATTTTATTTTTTATTGAAATAAATATTAAAAAAAAAAACAAAAAAATGAAGAAAAATTATTTTTCTTTTAAATGAATGAATGAAAATGTCGACGTTTGATTGTTTCAATTGAATGAATATTTTTTCTTCAGGATAGTTTTTTTAAAAAAAAGGCCAAAAATTCAATTTTCCATTTATATATATATATATATATATATATATATATATATATATTAATAATATCTATAGCTGAGGAAAATAAATAATATATATATATATATATTTTTCTGGCATACTTTCGGATATAATAGATATATAAATTATATATATGATTATATAGTTATAAATATATTTTTTATATATTTTATTTTTTAAATTTTAAATTTGAATTTTCAAAATATAAATTTTTTTAATATATTATTATTAATATAATTTTATAAAAATTTTGGTTTTTTTAATCCTATTATATTGTTCTTAGTTATATATATATGATTTTTATATATATAAATATATATATTTTTATATATATATATATATTCATATATACAATATGATAAAATTTTATTTATATATGATCATATATATATATATATATATATATATATATATATATATATATATATATATATATATATATATACAGTAGCGTCCAAAACTAAGGGACAAAATTTTAAAACCTAATATTTGTTAGAAATAACAACTGTGAAAAGCTGAAATTTTGACAACTGGTAGTCGTTATCATCCATAATAACATACTAAAATTTGAATCATTTGCAAAGGATAGAAAAAAGAATTATAACAATTATTTATTTATTTTCAAATTTGGAACGTCCAAAAAGTAAGGGACAAAATTGAGAAAAACAATGTAAACGGCAAAAAAAACAAAAAAATACATGTACAATCAATATTTAGTAAATGAGCCCTTTTCTCAATGACAGCTGCACATCTTCGACTACAAGAACGAATCAGTTCTTGACAATCCTCGATACTAATTTTAGACCATTCTTCTTGAAGCTTCACCCACAAATCCTCCGTGTTAGTGGGATTTCTTTCCATAACTTTCCTCCTAAGGTCTTCCAAAGATTTTCTATTGGATTTAAGTCAGGACTTTTTGGTGGCCAATCCATAATTTCCAAATCTTGCTCGCTAAGGTAACTCATTACCACCTTTGCCTTGTGACATGGGGCATTATCTTGCATAAAGGTAGCCCTATCGAAACCTGAATTCTGTATGATTGGCACAACATGATCTTGAACAATGTTTTTATAGATCTGCGCGTTTACACGAGTTTGTAACCGGACAAAAGGCGTTGTACCTTGGAAGAAAACATTCCAAATACCATGACGCTTCCGCCCCCAAACTTGACAGTTTTCTTAGTACACTTTGCACTTAATCTTTCACCAATACGTCTCTTTACATTTTTTTTCCATCATTTCCAAATAAATTAAAGAGACTTTCATCACTGAAAATACTTTTGCCCAATTTTCATATGTCCAAATTACATACCTGTTTGCAAACTCTAATCTCTTCTTCTTATTCTTCGAACTAACAAGTGGTTTCTTCCCTGGGGTTCGATTAAACAGCCCTATTTCTTGCAGTCGTCTAAAAACAGTCTGTCTTGACACATTAACACATGAGGTACTATTCATAACCCTTTTAATTTCTGGGCAAGACTTAAAACGGTCCTTTAATGACATACGCTGCATTATTCGATCTTCTCTTGCCGAAGTTTTGGGGGTCTGCCGGTTTTAAAAGCACTAACTATTTTGCCAGTATCATTAAAG